ATCCAATTGCCTTTTTAAGCTTGAGGAGACTGTGACTGTACCATCATAAAACATGACTGCGCTCAAAAGCAGCTGAGCTCGAAGATCAAAGATGCACACACAGCAGAAAATATCGAAATTCCAGGTAGTGTTTCAAACCTCTTTTATTTAAAAAAAATCTAATATGAACCAATGGTCTTTTTTTTCCTTCCTTTTTGTAGTGTCTTGTGTGGCCCATTCAGACTAATTCTACAGACGGTACTTGTTGTGCTACATGAGAGCAGCAATCTGAAATAAAGAGCCCAGAACACACCATTCTACTATGTGTCACAATTCTAGAGAGTCAGACCTGGTTGAGAGGCGGGGAATGCTGGGTCACAGCAGTGTGGGAGAGTCTTAAAAAAAGCCTAAGGGGAGGCTTCACTTCCGGTCAGCTAGTCTCTGCAGCAGCGCAATGACCGTGTCCTGTTTTGAGGAGAGCAGCTCCAGGGCCGTGGCGATCCTCCCCAGGGACTCGGACATCCGCACCTCCCTCCTCTCGCGCCTCTTCTCTCGGGCTTCCACCCTCCGGCGAGCCATGCGATCCAGGTGGGCGTGCTCCTCCTGCCGCTTGACCGCCTCCTGGAACAGAGCCACGCCCTTCGGCTCCTTGGTTCCTCTCTGGCCCCCCGGCGCCTCGGCCCCCGGCACGCCGGCCGCTGGTGATGAGGGACCGCCGGAAGAGGTCAGGCAGGAGGAGGAGGAGGAGGTCTGGGGGAAGGAGGACAGCCCCAGAACGTTCTGGCCGTGGATAAGAAACAGCACCAAACTTTCTTCCATGGTTAAAAAATCAATTAAAGGTTTACCACTACCATCCCTGAACGGAGAAATTAAACTAAAACTCCTCGGGACGGACGCCCCCACAATACTTGTTACTCTTCGTGAATAGGTTCTCAATCGTGCAAAAGAAAAAGGCGTAGAGGTTTTCTTGAACCCGCTTCCTCTATTATTTGCATTTTTTCTCTTCGTTCACTGGTCCTTTCTGAAGTTAGAGCCCGTTTCTCCGAGCTGCCTTTAATGCATCCCTGTTAACGGGAATGTGCACGTGCCTACCGTTTTTGTTGTGTTGTTGGTAACGGGGGGAGGAAATATCCGATTTCTATATTTCATACATATTCAAGAAAAAAGTGATGAAGAGTTGGTCGAACTAAACTAAAACAAATACATTAAAAAATAAATCTGCCTACGTAAGATGAAGTCTTCTGTTTGAATTACATTAGCTAAATTACGTCAATAACAAGATATGAATTTCATTTGATTGACAACCACGTTAGCTATTGCTGTTAGCTTCACATACTCTGGATTTCATTATATCTAACTCACTTTTAAACTGATGGCTGCCTTCCTGAGGATTCGAAGAGGATATAACAAGTATTAAAGCTGCTACGATATTTTAAACTCACCACAACCGTTTATTTAAAGGTAGTTTGCCATTCGCGTACATTTCAAGAAAGTGTAATCAGTCGATAAAAAGAAATATCTTTCATTTCCATTAATTATGTATAAAATTTGGATCAAGATGTTATTATGACTGAGCATAAAAGGAAAAATAATAATAAT